TGCAGCGCAAGGTGAACCACCTTGCGAATTCCATAAATAATTCTGAAATTATACAGATTCAATTAAATATATCTTCAAGTTTGTATTGATGATTTTTGTGTCTGTCTCTTTTTGGAATTCGCAAGGCAGGTCACCTTGCGAATTTAAAATTGTCCAATTTGTCCAATCAGATGCTGTGAAATCACGAAAATCGCTGCGTAGATTCATCACACCCTGTTGCGATATATTCTACTCATGTGATGGCGGTTGATGCAAGGAGCATTGAGATAATTATGTAGACTGTGTATGAGAGCAAGATCATGCGATGTGGTATGGTGCACTTCATCTAAAAACTTCCAACTGGCCAAATTGAAGAGTGGAGGTTTTATTATTTAACGTGCAATTAATGTAGTTAAACCCAAAATCCAGATACGTTAAATACCGATTTCATGCGTTTTATCACTGGAGTGGGAGGTTAAAGGTCCCAACTGCCTCCGGATATTAAATACGGATAAGAGTCACATACAAAAATCAAGATACATTTGAGCGGCCACCCCTATGGCCAAATATCTAAGCGCCCATGTAAAATACCGATAGGTTAAATATCTATTTCTGGACCAATTCATCACAAAATTTAAATCTGAGACGTAGAATTTCTTCACCACATTGAGATCTGTCGATTATACGTCTCTATTTGCTGCAATTTTGAGTAATGAATACTACGTAGTATGAAATAGAAGTCAGAAAATTTTGTGAAAAGTTGGTGGTTTATAGATGACGTGCACCATATCATGGACTCGGTCAATTCGAACAGGTCTAGACTTCAGTAACATCACTACTTGCCTGATAAACCAATGAATGTGGTCATCCCTCATTCCACTATCAGTCCGTGTCGGTGCCGTACACCTCCCTACTGGAGTGGTCACGTGGTTGCGCAAGACGTTTTGGTGGCACCCATCGCAAGTGCTGAAGTGGCGGCTTCAGCACTTGCGATGAGTTCCTAGTGTACCAAGACGTCGTGCGCCACCGCGTTGGCCCACCAGAGCCGTCACGGCATTGCAACCCAACCGAGGCCACAACATAATGTTAGCTGTAAGGGGAGAACCACATTGGATATAGTCGGAGTGAACTCATCAGTGCGCAATTCTCTGGAGCAGCATCACACAATGCTCTACAAAATTCAATATATCCGTCCCTCCCTGGGGAATCCGGATAAAATGGGCTGCGTACGAGATGAGGATCGAACTTCGAAGAAACTCGGGAGGGCACGAGGTACGAAGCGTAGAGCGAAGTAAAAACCGAAGATTACACACCGCCCCCGGACGCGTTACAATTGACGAAGCAGTTAGTTGATGTCAAGTGGTCACTCCTTTTGTCCTCTCCTACCAAGTCTCCCAAACTCGATCACCTAGTTTATCAACTCTGACAGGCCGATACAGTGGCTGCTTTATACTACTCTGGTCCAAAATAGTTGTTAGGTTCGACTTTCTATTGGCGGCATTTTTCTAAATTAGCCCCAAATTGCGATGTGATTGGTGCATTAGAAAGCGCAAGATCTATGCTATGATTGGATAGTTTCTGGGCTTTCTAGAGCGTTTTGGTTGATGAGATATTGGGCGCCAAAATTTGTGTGTCGCATGCGCTGACGAAAAGTCATCAGAATAAGCTCATAACACGATCGTTTCTCCAGCCAACACCGCTTCTCTCGTCGAACTAACTCCACTATGCAGCCACAACTCTCCCACGGCGCTTCCGACCCACTTCGACCGTCTAACGAGCCCCGCGATGGCAAGCGGCACCTACGCCCTGCCGAGCGTCATGCAGTGTACGAGACTCTGCTTGGTGCCTCCAGCAACGGCACGCTCCCTCGCGGCATCATCGTCCGTGTTGCTGCCCAGTTCCACTGCCATGCGCTTACTGTGTCGCGCATATGGTCGCAAGGCCAGGAGTCCATCCGCGGCGGCCGCATCTGTGCCGACGTTGCTTCAAAAATTCGCGGTAAACCTCTTTGATTTGATATTTTGATCCATTTTCGTGTTTATCATATTCTAAAGGTGCACTGGTTTAGGAAATTCGGGGCGAAAAAAGTTGCGAACGAACGAAGAAATCGAAGCAGCGATTCGGCAAGTGCCCCAGTCGGC